TATGAGCAGCTGAGTGCTGAGGGGCTTGTGCACTCTGGCTTAGCTTGGCAAACGTGCTTGAGTCACTGCGCACAGATGAAGCTGTTCAGCTAGCTGGGTTTGTGCACGTAGCAGTGATGCTGACTCCCACTCCTCATCTTTGCCTCCAGGTCACGTGATTCCTCCAGAAAACATTTTACCCATAATCCTCTGCACTGGTCCGTCCAACCAGCAGCTAGAGTTCACCTACCAGACGAGAGACCTGCCCCAAATGGTAAGGCTTCCCTTTGTTCTCTTCCTTGGTATCTCTTCTTTGTTTCACTTGCTGATGTTTCATAGGACACTTCCATGTTCTGTATCTGAAAGGTGCGCTGATCAAAAGCCATGGGAGAGGCAATCTGTGGGAGTTGGGGCAGGCATGTTGCCAAGTGATTGGGAAAGAAGAGCAGCAAAAGGGATTTTGAGCTGCCTGCTCGGAGGTTGCTATTGCAGACTAGGGAGACTAGCATCTCCTGTTTGCCTGTACTGAGATCTTGCAGCCTGTGTGTGCCGGCTATCAGAAAGAGATCCCTGACTGCTTCATGGTTTGAAGGGAGCTCAATGACTGTGCAGCATGGCAGCCCTGCGGAGTGCAGCCCACCCAGACGAGACAGGTGGCAGATGTTTCTGCACACTTTTCTTCATTGGGCCAGTGGGCCAGTAAGGATCTAACACTGGACACTAGGTCTGCTCTGCCTCTGTCTCCACCAGATGTTGAGAGCAAACTAGCACATCTGTTCTAGTGTGACAACTCCCATCCGTTAGGCAACAGATGTAATCATTCCTTCCCTGAGCGACCACTGCTTCACAATGGTCATGGAGACTGTGGCTTAGGAGAGGTCAAGCAGTGAATGGCTTTTTGGTGATTCCCAGCTCCCCTAGAGAGCCCTCTTAGACCATGCACGTCTCCCACATCCTTTCTTCCCCCAAGGCATGACTTAGGGAAGAGGTGTTCCTGACACTGTCCTCAGAATTGAAGCAGCATTAGGTGGAGCTCCTGTCAGCTGCAGTGTGCTCGTCTCTCTTGCAGATGGATGAGACGGGCCGAATCCTTTGCAACGTGTGCAACGTGGTCCCAGGGGGTGTGGTATGCTTCTTCCCTTCCTATGAGTATGAGAAGCAGGTGTATGCGCACTGGGAAAAGACGGGGCTGCTCACCCGCCTGGCAACTAAAAAGAAGGTAATTGTGCAGCCATGGGCAGTTGGTACTTTAAATGGAGGTTTCAAAAGTCAAACAATTATCTATGCATTACAGGCCTCTCTCGCTGAGTTGTTCTCATACTCTGCACAGCAGAGCAGAGCGGATGTTTATCTAGCCAATCCCTCCAGTAATGAATAAATGATACTTCCCGGGCAGCTGACCACTGAGCTGGGATCTAAATTAGATTAAATGCTGCTACAGGTTCTGTAAGTGCACAGACTGTGTAGAGGCCGTGGAGGGAGACAACCCTCCCTTTCCACAGCTTGCAGGTTTGTTCCCCTGTGGCTGGGGCTGTGAGGCTGGAGTGTTCAGGTTGGGCTCTTATAAGGAATTTTCCCAGGCTCAGCTGTGTATCCCTTGAACACAGAATAGCACAACTAAGGGCTAGACAGGATTGTACTAACCTGCAGTTCATAGGACAGATGGCTTTTTCCAGTGAAAGTGCAGAGCTGAGAACTGAAAGACGAGCACTCTGATCTTGCCTGTGGTCTGTGCCACAGGCTGCCTGTATGACCTTGACTGAGGTGTTTGACCCTTCTGCCTCTTCGGCAAGGTGGCAGCAGTGACTCCTGTGTATGTTGGGAAACATTAAATGGGGAGATCCCTGCACATATGAAACCTTTCTAATGACTGTCACAAGTATTTGAAGGTTGGATATTGAGGTTTTTGCAGCCTGGTTGTCTTGGGCAGATCTTGGATCATGTGCCAGAAAAAAAGAATTACAGATACTATAGCTGTGACTTCTGTTTACCAGAAGCTAAATAACTTACCACGTGGCTTTGGAAAGCAGAGTCCCAGATATTTCACAGCCTTGGTGCTGGCATTCTGGCACATGGATCTGCCTGTTGGTTTTCTTGGTGGAAGCACCACAGTTCAGCCTTTCTGTGTATTTGTACAACTAACATTCATAGTGCTTTTCAGGTACGTTCCGTCACGGTCGTAATGGTCTGGCTAACATCTCCCAAGGGCTTGTGCCACATCCATGCTACTTGCTATACTTTTCATTACTGATTTGTTCTTGTTTGGCCTTTGCAGTCTCCAGAAAATTGGATATGTGTTAGCAAAGCCATTGGTAGAAGTGCAGCAAGTGGGACTTTCAGCTGCCTACACACAAGATCATATAATAGAAGAGGGAGGTTAAAGTCTTTCCTGAGGTGGCTGTGGTGAGATCACACTGAAATTTATATATAAATTACACAGGGAGGATTCATTTAAACCAGAGGCTTCAATAGCTACTGTTTAATAAGTTAAATAGCCTTGCTTACATTTGTACTTACCAGTTATTTTTTTCTGAAAGATTGATTCTGGCTGGTAAAAACTCATAGTGCTTCTTGCTAACCAAAAGGAAACACGTCTCTTGGGTTCTTTATTGTCATAAGTAAGACAGATGTTGCACTTTTTGTTTACTAGAAAAAAAAAAAATTGTGATTTAGGTCAAGATGCAGCACCTATCAAAAAGCAGCTCAATTAATTGCAGGGTTTTCAGTAATGTGAAAATTCAGTACTAGGAAATATTACTCAATGTATTTTATTTTTTTAATATAGAAAGCTAATAATTGATTCACTAGGCAAGGGGGATTATTACTTGTAATTAGTTGGTGATTTGAACTGCTTGATTGTCTCACTGTCCTCCAAGATCCTGCAGCCAGAGGGTCTCGTCATCCCCCCATATCTTGATTCATAGATGGAGGAGGTAGATCACGCTTTCCTGCCTTCCAGCACTCAGATGATTTTTAACTTCTTACAGAATTGGACAAGTCTGCCTAAGATGAATGGGAATGTTTGCTGCTGTTCCCTTCAGAGCCCAGTGGAAAGGTGTTACAGTGAACATGTAGTGCTTTTCCAGGCTGGAGGGGAAAGGTGCTGGTTAAGTTGTTTCTTCAGGCAACGTGCCCTTGCCCCATCTTACTACCATGCAGTGTTTAATAGCATGTAGCGTTCAATAGCATGGGATTAAAATAATTTGTTTTCTTCACTCTGTTTGCTTCCTGTTGCTGCAACTAACACATTGTGCCTTTGACAGATCTTTCAGGAGCCTAAGAAAGCCAACCAGGTGGAACAGGTGCTCGTGGAATATGCCAAGTGCATAAAGGTAAGCAGAGCTGGCAGTCTGCTGGGAGTGAAGCATCCCAGCTGTGTAGAAGTGTTGCTGAAGAGGGCATTGTAGCTTTTAACAAAGAAACAAGCTTTTAACAAGGAAAGCGGGCTCTCACCCAGGTGTGCCTCTGTTTCTGAAACACCGAAGTTTTCCCAACTCTGGTTTAATGTGTTGGTTCCTCTCTTGCAGCGCTGCAGCCATGTGGGAGGCCAGATGACAGGAGCCCTGCTGTTTTCAGTAGTTGGAGGGAAAATGAGTGAAGGGATCAACTTCTCTGATGACCTGGGAAGGTAAAATAGCTGCTCTTTTTAAGGTGGGCACTCAGCTTGTGGTGCTGTGATTCTGAGCAGGATGGATGAGTCAGTACTCGCATAGATAGAAAATGCTAGGGAGCACATGACTTTGGCTGATGGTTAAACTAATGGGACCAAGTCTGCTAGGTGCTAGGTGTAAAACTCCTGATTAGTGACTTGTCCAGCGTCCTTTTCATGAGGGTAATGCAGTTAGGCTTGCTGTGCTAGATAATTCCTTGTTCTGGCACCCTGAATCCCTCTGCAGCTTTCAGTTCAGTATGTGCGTGTCAAACTGCTGTGCTTTATTGCTGCCTTTGGTTTTCAAGGCTGGCTGTCTTTCAGGGGTGCAGTGACCTCTCTAATTTATCTGTCTATTGGCAAAGCGCTCTAGCATGAGACGTTAATAATAATGCATTCTTCCCTTGCCCCTTGCAGGTGTGTGATTATGGTGGGCATGCCTTACCCCAACATTAAATCTCCAGAGCTCCAGGAAAAAATGACTTGGCTTGACAAAACAATGGTAACAGGGAGGCTTAGGCCTCCGTTTCTTTCACTTTTGCTTTTTGCTAGTAACTGCCCTCCTGGCACAAGAGTCCCAGGCTGCCTTCAGGGATTCTTTTGACAGAGCTTGCCCATGGTTGGTGGGGCCTGGTTCTTTCACGATGTGGTACCAAAAGCACAGCCTTCTTACGCTGCATGTTCACGGCTGGCCCTGAACAAAAGAAACAGCACAGGGCGTTCCTGGGAACTCTGAGCTCCAAGGGGAACAAAAGCCCTTCAGCCCAGAGGAGGCGGCAGGGTGGTGGAGGCTCCATGCTAGGATCGCATCTCCTCTCGGCTCACTTTTCCTCACCCATTGGCCTACCAGCGATGCTATTCCTGTGCAGCTATAAGAGTCAGGGCAGCTGGGGACAAGTGGTCTGCTTTCAAGGCCTTGGGCTGCCTCGTTGTGAATGACTCACAATAAGTTTCCTAACTGCAGCCTCTCTTCTGTTCCTTCTTACCCTCTGCTTTGGGTCTGCTTAGGCATCTGCTCATCCTGCAAGGATAAAAGTTATTTGCCCGAGTTCTTCACTAAAGAAAGAGGACTTCCTAGTTTGATTTACATCTGCCTCATTTTCAGTGTTTTTCTCTTCTAGCCAAGAGCTGCTGGCCAGGCACCTAGCAGAGTGCTGATTGAAAACCTCTGCATGAAAGCAGTAAACCAGTCCAGTCAATAGTTAATCATCCTCCCTTAGGCTGGCTGGCGTGGGTGGGGGGGGGGTACAAAATGCAATTGCATTGGAGTAGGAGGGTGGGGAAAAAAAAGGAGGCCTTACCCAATCACTCTACATATAGATGATGAGAACATAAATGTTACTTGCCTGAGAACAAAAACTTAAGTAAGTAAGTGAGCCAGTTTCATGTGTTTGCACACTGTACAGGGAGAGCCATTCGCCACCAGAGGGACTTTGCAAGCATCCTACTCCTGGATCACAGGTATGCACGCCCTGCCATCTTTAATAAGCTGCCACAGTGGATCAAGGAGAGAACCCAGGTTAAACCTGCCTTTGGATCAGCATTTGCAGAGTTAAGAAAGGTCAGAACTTGTATCTTATGTACTGCTATGGAAATTGTTTCCCGTGTGTTCATTTGTACTTGTCCAAACCCTCAAACCAAGCCCTTTAATCTAGGGCCAGGAACAAACTGTCAGGTTTCTTCTGTTCTTAGTTCCATCGAGGGAAATCAGACACTTCGTGATGGAGACCAGAGAACTGGTTTGTAGGTCAACTCTGTGAGCTACTGCTTCTGAAGAACAGCTGGTTGCTGCTTTTCTGTACCAAAGACTTTGTGAGGCTCTTCGTCTGCCTCCTTTGTGGACGGTTTCTCTTCAGTATCTGAGCACTGTCATGGTGAGACCTGCACCTTCAGCACCATAACCAGGAAGGAAACCGATTGTAGCCCTGACACTGGTGAAGGCAATATCAGGCTCTGATTTGTTGCTAGCTGTTCAAGTTTTATTTAAATTGATTAAATATTTTCAACCCAGACACTTATCTGGGGGGCACCATAATTATTTTGACTGAACACATCTCCTTTTTTTCCCTTCAACTAGCAGGCCATTAGCTTGTGTCGCTTTGGATTACACAGTGCAACTAGTGAGACGCAGGCTAGCTGAAGGTGCCCTTCGCCCTAGCTTGCTTCAAGCAGTCGATAAATTCAGGGCCTGGCTCATTCTTTCAAGGGGAGTAAGGATAGGGTCAAAATGCCACTGCAGCACTTCTCTGATCATGCATAATCATAGGATTATGATCTTTCATCTCTTTCTTACTGCACCGATTTTTGAGTTAGAAAGTAACTTGCTGTATAAAATGGTGAAATGCTTTTTTAGTGCAACTGCCCTGAGGTTCTTTCCTAAGTCATGGGTCAGTGGTAGAGGGAAACGACAGCAAACAAGGCTGCTTGCTGCTCTGCCATCCCATGGCCATGCCCAGCTCTTTTCTGTCATCAAGAACAATCCTGTTCACAGGAACTGCTTTGCCTTCTTGCCAGTTTCAGCAGCTGGATGCTACCTCTTCAGGCTCTTCACAGTGAAATCAGTACTTATAATTAGACACAGAACTGTGACTCCCTGCATCTACAGAGTGTTTAGCTCTCTGTATGTTAATTAGCCCCACAGGGGAAAAAAAAAACAGTGCTTCTGCCTCTTCTGCACCTTCAATGGGCACTGAGCCCTCCCCCCACCCCGCAAGTCTGCCAAAAGCACCGCCTTAGCCCCACTGAAAGCAGCAGCTGGAGCGATGGGTGCCTGCTTGTAACAGCCAATGACTTCCAGTGCTTTAGCATATGGTGCTGGTTTCAAAGCCTCACCCCAGCCTGAGATGAGAATGGACAGCTGGGGCCTCCCTTAAGACACTCTTAATTGAGCATGCTTCTCTTCTACCAGAGTGAAGGCTACAAGGACCGGCTTCCTTGCGTTTATTGCAATTTTTTTCAGAAACCAACCAGCAGAGAACTGCCATAAGCCAAGTACGAAGACTCTTAAGGGCTGGGGCACCAGTAATTAGATCCCCCCCCAAATGAAGGAGCAGAAAGACATACATGCATACACTGTTCATCATCCAGCTTATCTTAAAAGAATTCACACTCAGCAACAACCAAGCAAACAAGAGCTTCAACAAGCAAACAGCATGGAGAGGGATGAGGCAAAGGCTGTTTGCCTGCAAGAGATGCTCTTGCAGTAATCACCCATCACATTAGGAAAGACTGAAGGCCTCTCAAATCAGGAGAGATGCTAGTTCTGATCCTCTGAGCACAAGCCACCTCACTGCCCTCCAGCTAAGGCAGGATTTATTGAGCCAGTGTGAGCAGCAGCAGCATTTGAGATGGAATGCTGGGGGTGGGGAAGAGCAAACAGAGCAGAAGTAACGCTCCTTGATAACTGCATTCAGCAGTGGTTAGCTCCTGCTGCTCGAGGTCATCTTTAAGAAGAAATAACAGGGTCCCTCTGCCATGTCAGTGCCCACTCTCCAGGGAATATTTCCATGGGCCAGTCTGTCTCAGAGGTGCTTAGTTCAAGAGTCATGGGACTCATGCTGATGGATTACGCACAACTGATACCATCTATGACTCCCAGTCATCCTCATCTTCCTCACCCGGGGGCTGCTGTGGGGGTGGAAGGGGTGGTATTGAGTCTGACATACGAGCAAAGGCACCAGCAGGACTTCCAGGAGCATCGGGATTTCCTGAGGCTCCTGGCCCTTTCCCTGAAATACCTAGGAGGGAGGAGAAAAGCAAGAGTGAGTGACACCTGGGGACTGGAGAACAAGGCAGCTCAGCAAGAGGGAGGGGGAAAAACATGCCTCATACAACTGCTGCCTCAGCACCCAGGTGACCCAGACACAGCACTGTGGACAACCTTAAATGACATCACATCACTGCACACGAGCTCACTGAACTAAAGCTCCATCTGCGCAAGTCTGTGCCCCCACCCCCCCATCCTGTGTCAGGCACCGAGGCGCAGCACTGGTCCTGGATACACCAGGTACCTACCTAGGGCTTCATCTGTGACTCAGGTGCCCTGATGGACAAGGGACCTGGCCCCCACAACTGATCAGTTCAAAAGGATGCCACTGTCCCTCCCTCACCTTGCAGGGCTCACTCACGGGCAGCTTTTACAGCCCAGTATCTGCCTCGGGTGTACAAACTCTCTCTCTAGTGTCGCCAGCCTGATTTGACTTGGAGATTGAGCTGATGTCCCTCTGTACAAAGACACTCCCAGCCTCCATGGGGCACACTAGCCTGGGTAAGTGTCTGTTCCTAGTTCTAGGGCTGCAGCTGACACCCAGGTGAAGGTGCCAGAAGGGCTCTTCTACCTCTCTGCCAGAGGGAAGGGGCAGCCCACCCTGCAGAACAGTACCTTTGCGCCTCAGCACCAGTTTGTTGAAGAGGTCTGACATCAAGTCTCCACCTTGTCCCGTAGCTCTCACTGAAACAAAGTAAAATACCATGAATCAGACCAGAAGGGAAAGTGCGTTTGAACCCAGAACTAAGGGGAAAGTGTTCTGCAGTATTGCTTTCAGATTAAAGAAAAAACTGCATCCTCCTATTTAACCTCTCCTCCCACTACAGCTCAGTTTCATGTTGGGAAACACCAGGCACTGCAGCATCCTCTAGGGAAAGCCAAGTGTCGGATTTGTCCAGGAGTAGGAAAGGGCTGGGCACTGTTACTCTCATTCTGCCCCATCAGCTAAGTCAATAACCCTAACCAGCTCCCTAAATCAATGTACTCAAAGCAGCTCAGCACAGAGACCATCTTGGCCCAAGGCTTCCCCTCAAGCTCTCCTTTCAGTGTCTGTCTCCATGCAGCACATATGAAACTTCTAACCATTTGCTGAGGCAGGATGGGTTTCCATCAGGAACACTCAAGCCCTCCTCCAGACAGGAAATGCTTGAGACTTTACACCAACCTGTGAGGACAGACAACAGCTCTGCTCTGCACAGCCAGGTGCTCTTGGCTCCTGGCTCGCCTCTCTCCCTCCAGACATACACCTCCCCAACCTGGGGGAGACAGCAAGGCAGACTGTACAGAAGAGCCTTGGCACCTTGTTCTTGTTCCTTCTGCTTCTTCTTCTCCAGCTTCCTCTCCTTGACACTGCGGAGGTTGGCCTTCCCGATGCCACCAGCCTGGCGAATGGACTCCAAGAGACTGGCACGCCCAGTAGAGGGGTTCACCACCTCCTTTGGGGCTCCTTGGACCAGAGCTGCAGGGACAGGAAAGACAGGCATCAGCCCCAGGTCAGCACATGAGCTATGATGGGACCAGCCAAAACCCCATGGAAAGGGCTGTTCTAAAACCCTGCCAGCCTCTGCCCAGGCTCTGAGCAGAGCAGACACCTCTTCCAATGACAGGCCTGCAGCAGCCCTGCCAAGGCGGAACCAAAGGCCTGCAGTTCTCAGGCAGGGGTGAGCAACTTCCCCCTCCCCCCCCCCCACCTGCACCAGTGGGAAGGCTGAAAAGCCACAGAAGAAGAGAATCCAGGGAGCGGGCTGAAGCCCAGGGAGTTGGGTTAGATTCTGGCAGTGAAGCTGTGGAGATGCCCAGCCCTTACCTGCAGGCACTGCCTTGCTGTTCTCCTCACTCGCTGGCTGGGCTGGTTCAGAAGGCGCTGTGGGCTGGGGCAGGGGTGGTGGAGGAGGCACAGTAGTTGGCATAACAGGAGGCGGTGGGGGAGGCGGCGGTGGGGGAGGCGGCAATAGCCCAGCATCTTGAAGGTCTGAAAGATGAAAGAAATTGCATATGAAAAGTCCCAGAGGACATTGTGCCGAGAGCTTGAGCTCAGAGCTCCACGGTTCTCAGCAGCAATAGATAACAATCCTCAGCACTTGAAACATGCAGCAGAGCACTCCCTCCCTGGCAGCATCTCTTACAGCAGGCAGAGCCAAGGCAAGGCTTGCAATCTGTCCTCCCCAGCTGTGTCCCACTGGGCCTGTCCAGCTCGCCCTGCATTACTAGGCTGCCATGAGGCAAGTCCCCATACGCTGCTCTCCTTCCTCCCTAGTGCAGCAGTTGCTCAAAGTAAGGGGCTGGGAGCCTGGTTGCCACTTGAGTAGGTTGTGGCTCTGACTCAGGCCCAAGCGCAAGACACCAGAGGTATTTGCAGTATCTGTCTTGAAACAAACAGGGGCTTTCTGCCCTGCCCCAATCTTATCCTAGTGATCCCTCTTTCCTCCTTCACTGGGCCCTGGGAACATGGACTGAAAATACCTGGTTGCAAAGGCTCCACTGACTCGGTGTTGAAGGTGGGCAACTCTGGAATAGCACTGCTTGGGGCAGACGGTGCAATGCCAGGTCCCAGATCAGCGCTGTACATGAGATCTGCAGCAATGCCAGGCAGGTCTGGCAGGTAGGATGGCACATCAATCTCAGGCACCTGGCCCAAATCTGGCACATAGAAGTAGTTTTCAGCTACCTAAAGGAGATCCAAAGTAAAAAGATAAGGTGGTGACTAGGCACCCGCTTTCCCTTGCGGCAAGCAGGGGTAGTGCAGGGAACAGCCTGGGCGGCAGTCAGAGCTGGGCGTGTGTGCCCTGGTACAGTGGTTGCTCCTCAGCAGCCCCTGCCAGTCTGTGCTCTTGTCCTGGGACAGATTCCCATGCCCTGAGGTTACCCCCTGCAGAACGAGCTAGGCAAAGGCAGGCTGCAGGAGAGAGGTGCAGGTCTCTTCCTGGTTTCCTGCAAGTAAACTTTACTCTCTCCTCCCCAGAGGTTTCACCCACAACTTTCGCAGCCTACAAAGGCCAGTCTCTTCTCTTCTGCAAGAGAACAGTGCCTGGACAGTCTGTGAGATAAAGATGCAGGAGAAACAAAATAGTCACAAAGGTCTTGTGTTTAATATGCAGGCAAAATAGTACCAAAGGTGAACTGTGAATAAAGGGTTTTGTTAGTTATACACACTGCTCTCTCCTCCAGTCCAACACACAGGACGAGTGGTTCCTAGGCTCCCTCTTCCTGCCCCAGACCACACAGTCAGCCATGCAACAGCAAAGCGCAGAAGCTCAGTACTCGGGGTGTGGCCACTACCAGGTGTCAGAAACAAGGTTTGTCACCCGCTGGGGCAGCCAGGTTGGTGCATTGCATGCCCCATGTCTACACCAAGCACAAACCCCTTTGCTCAGGCTGGCTGGCCCTTCTGGTGGCATCAGCAAGTGCCCTCTTCGAGTCACAGGCCTCCTTGTGTGTGCTGTAGCGCCTCACCCTCACATTACTCATGAGGATCAGGAGTAAGCACAAGGGAGATGATCAAGTGACAGAGCTGCCAATCTCCTCTGTAGCCCTGAGGTCTAGCAGCACAACACATTGACATATTACTCTTCTCATGTTGGCCTGCAAAGGCTTGAGTGGAGAGAAACAGCTCTCAAGTTTCAGGGCTTTGTCACATCCACCAGGCCCAAACCAGGACTTTAAGCACAGAAACTGAGGCGTGATTCCTCTGGCAAGCAAAAATACCCTACAGCCCTATGACGGGTGATTCCCCTATCTGTTCTCTGCACTACCTACCCTCCTCTCCCCTCAGAGTTGAGCAGAATCCCTCCCCTGCTCCCCACAGCTGCATCTCACCTGCCGGTCCAGCTGTCCCCTTTTGGTGATGGAGAGAGGAGCATCAAAGAGTTTCTCTTCTGTCTCTGTTTCCAGAGCTACATGGGTCTTGGTCACTGCTCCAGCCAGAGGATCCAGGAAGACATACTTCTTGTACCTGGGGGCAGAAAGGAAGTGATGTACAGGGGCAAGGCTAGATAAGTGTAGTCAAGGCAGCCTTGGAGGTGAACAGCTCCCAGTTCATCCACGCAGGTGCAGCAGGGCTGTCCCTCACAGTATACACATTCTGGTCCCACTTTCCTGTTTCTCCCCTCTACAGCCAGGAGCTCACCACCTCCTCCACCCTGCCAGCTTAGCTTCCACACTCATCCTAAAGCAAAGCCCAGCTGCACAGCATTGTTTCCCGGCTCTACCCCCTTCCTCAGCCTGGCACAAGCCCATCCAACTGCCTGCACCAGGACACCAGTCTCTCCTGGTAACACGATGCTCAAGGGGCAGCAGCAAAAATGGGATAGGAGAGAAAACAGTGGCTCAGGAGAAGGAAGAGGAGGTTCAGTAGGTGAAAGCTCAAAGAGGGTGAACATAAAGAAGCTCTTCAGTATGGGCAGGAGAAGGAACAGTGAGGCAAAGCCCCACGGGAAGGGGATTCGCAATTGAGGCAGTGGAGACATTAAAGCAGTGACAGTGGGAAAGTGCCCCTGGGAGTAAGCAATCAGGAGCGGGTGCAGTACATAAGGCCAAGAAGGGCAGGAGTAACAGCAGCTCTCTAGGCTAGAGAAAAATTATAGGGGGATGACAGGAAAAACTGAGAAAGGAAGTCATAGACAGGAAGGACAAAGTTGAGTTGATAAGCAGGGTGAGCAGAGATCATATGCAGACAAAACTCCTTCCACTGCAGTGGTGGTGGGGAAAAGAAAGGGTTGCTAGCCAGAAGCCAGTGGAGAGGTACCAAATCCTGTCCTGGGAGCCTGCTATGCAAGGCCCCCAGGAAGGCAAGCAGCTCCTGCTGTCCTTGGGGTGGACAGAGCTCCTCCGAGCCTGTGCAAGGGTGGGTGAACAGCCTGGCACTGCTCCAGCTCTCACAGGTTCTCCGTAGTGTTGAAGAGCAGCAGGGAGCTGAGGGAGCTGATGTTCCTGGGGAGGCTGCCGAGACCTTCTTCTGCATCATCCTCCTGGTGAATTTTGGTGCTCACACAGACGGGGAAGTACTTGAGCTTCTCCTGCAAGAAAACAGGTAACAGGTGGCAAGACACTAACAAAGCAGAGCAGCTGTGACAGCTCTCCCCAGCCACCACAATCCATGCTGGTGGATCCACTGCATGGTCAGGAATGCTACTGCTCCCCCTCCCACTTTGAGCAAGGAACCACACGGACAGCATCACTGTCCCACAGTCATGCCAGATCTCAGAAGTTCATACTCATGGCGTGTGCTTTTCAGTGCCATGGCTGGGTCATCTTGAACAGCTGCTTCTGTGGCAAGGATCTGCCAAAATGAAACAACCAAGGAGGCTCTATAGCCAGAGACAGGGATCAGCGTCTCAGTCTACAAAGCTGTTTGCTACAGCGTCTCCAAGTGGGATATTCTAGAGCATCTGCACACAGGCAAGGCTCCCCCAAACACCTATACTGCCTCCCCTCTGCTGCCTTCAGCTGAGAAGACACATGATCCCACCTGTGGGGTATGCAGGAAAGGTGAAGGAAAAAAGAGGTTAGGACACAGCAGTGCCTGCACTAGGCAAGAGATCAGGCAAAAGAGCGTGCAGGGTAGAATGTGGGCCAGATGGTTTTGCAAAGCCTGAGGGATTTGCAGGAGTTTTCAACTCTAATGAACTGAAATCTCTTCTCTCTCAGTTCTAAAACTTCATGCATAATATATAGAACTCCCTTTAGAAAAGGGCTTATTACATCTGAACTGCTTGACTTTTACAGAGCACAGGAATTGCCACCCCATTTCAGACCATTCAGCTAGTGTGACAGCACCTGCTGCCAGATGCTCAGGGGCATGCTGTTCAGTGCCCACAACACATTTCACTCTATGCACCATACTAGAGGAAAGAGAGGAATTAGTTCCTGAACCCAGAGATAGTCAGTTCTTCACAGCCTAAGAAACCACGAACCTTCATCCCAGACCTCTTGCTACTCTTTTCCAATTCCTTCCCAATTCCTCTGTTCTTTCTACATAGAGAAATTAGGATAAGCAGCAGCCGTGCAGCTCCAAGGTGATTAACTCTCAGACCAGAAGACACCAGACCAGAGCACTAACCAAGGCAATTTGGCCATACTGTTACAGTTTTTTTTCTGTCACCAAAAGATGACCAAATAGGCCATTTCAAATACTGTCCACCACTTCCTACTGCCTCTCTACTTCCACCATCTCTACTCTATCCCATTCTGAGTCCTCCTCCCTCTTTGCATTTGTATGGGTGAAGTGGAGACTGTGCTGCTGGTTCAGTTTTAACACTATTATTTCAGCAACATAAGCAGTTTCTGCTGACTAAAATTTCAGGCTTGAATTTGGTAGCCAGAAATCCTGGGAAATGGCTTAGTCACACCTTAGTTAATCCACTAAGGAGTCTGTATGGTGCTCTGAGCGTATGAAGTGCTATAAGAAGAGACCTGGGAGGTTTTGTTTTGGTTTTTTTTGGTTTTTTTTTTTTTTTAAATAATGAGTTCCAACTTGTGAAAAATACACTCAAATTAACATCTTGAATTTTTGCAGCCACAGCAAATAGGCAAAAATATATAGATTGTTATTTAGAGACTGTAGAGGCAGTGATTCAGAAATAAAGGTTCTTTTGATCATTAATATTCATTTCCCAATGTTTAATTTTTAAAAGCTTGAGGGAGTACTGACACTTTTGCTAGAACTGTTCACACACACTCAGCCCTAGAGCCGTTTTTTTTTTTTTCCTTTTTAATTCTCTCCTTGCGGATTTCGATTAGTACTGGAAGACTGCATGTCACTTTAAGGGTGGAGTGAGACACCAGCCATTACCTACATTTACTTATAAGACTAATTTAAGCCAGCTATAAAAGCACTAAGCATAAGTATTATTTGAACGTGAGGTTCTTATAATCCTTTTCATATAAATGCTACCAAAGTGCTAGCTTTACTCAAATATCTACTTCGATTTCGAAAATTCAGAATGGCTATGTGCCATCAATATTGTGCAACTTGAGTTCCACAAGTTAACATGTCATTTAGAAAGGAGTTTTCTTCTAGTGACATTAAAGGCCTTAAGCCAAGGGTTCAGCAACCTCAATATACTGAGGTCATGGGGGGTGCCCAAATGCTCAACACCTGACAGAATTGGTGATTCAACAACTGGCAGGATCACACCCCTAAATATGCTGCTTTTCCAGCCTTCTTTTTCCCCATAAGAGCCAAAGATTAAAAAAGTATAAAGTCACCTTGGTTCTTAAGTTTAGTTAAACATCCACTCTTGCAAAGGGAGCTTGGGTGATGCATCGGTAACCCCATTCCTTCTTATGCTAACAGAGGGCCAAGGCTTGCAAGACAAGCGCTTGAGGATTAGGAGTGCCAGAAAGCTGGTTCAGCTTCCCCATACCCATCATGAAAGCTGAAGGAGGCAGAATTCACAAGGACATGTTAAGTTACTAATGTTTCAGAAGACTATCAAGATTAGTGGTAGATTGCAAGTTTTGCTTGGACCTCTTCCAAACCCCAAAGAGGCCACGTCTCCCACACCCCAGTGCAAAGCCCCCTACATCTCCCAGCCTCTGGAGGGGCAGCTGCAGCACTTGGAAACAGCTCCCACCAACAAAGGCAATGATGTCCAGCATCTGAAAAGCCCAACAGAATTACAGCTGACTCACAGTTTAGTATAGCCTCGCTTCTACCACAGCGACACACAAAGCAAGGGAATTAGGCTTGCCATGAGGTCCCCATTTCTGGGATTCTTGCCCTTAGGCGCTTGTCTTACCAACCCAAACATTGTCCTTCTAACAGCTGAGTTTTCATTTGCTTGGGGTTTGGAGGAGAAAGGAAAATATCCTGGAAGGGAGCCATTTTAAAATAAAATCACAGCACCACATACATTTCTAACTCTACCACTGTCCCTCCAGAGCACGAACCCTGAGCATCCAGCACAGGCACCACTTCTTTTAAATTGACACAAGTAGAGGTTGCTTTCCTGGTGGGACGTGTGTGTGCAAAGTTAGTAAAGGCCATTGTGACTGCTCCCAGCAAAGAAGCCTTCGTTAGAAGTGAAAACGGGCAGAGAGCCTCTGCTGAAAGCCCAGAATAATTGAGGAGGGCATAAATGCAAACATTAGACTTCCCTCTGTCACATTTCGTTACTGCAAGGAGCATCAGGCTCCTTACTCAGCTATGGATAAGGAGAGCCTGTCCCCCCGGAACGTGATCAGTGCTTGGCCACACCAAGCCCCACTCAGCTCACCAGCTGCTGCTCACACAGGCCCTTCTATCATTCATAAGCTGACGGTCACCTACTAGCACAGCAGCATCACTCTGCCCACACTCCCTTGCAGTTCCATGGAAGACTTGCAGAAGATGTGTTTGAGCTATGCAAGAGTAATAAGACTATTGCATGAGGTAGGGCGAGCAGGGAGAAGCCAAGGTCAGAGGCCCAAGAACACTCATTAACGCCAAGGGAGGATCCAGAGATCAGTCAACAGGAGAGGAAGAAACACAAGCATCCCATGGGGCCAGCAAAAATCCCTGTGGTGAAAGCAGCTTTAGTCATGAAGGGCAGGATATTGCAATGGTACAGAGATTGTAAGGGGTGGGAAAGAGGTGGCATTACAGACAGACAGGATGGGCTGTGGGGAAGAGTGTGCAGAGCATACAGGAGCCAGTAGACCAGTTGAACGCGAACACCTTTTGCTCTTTGGGGGACACTGCTTTTCACCAGCTGATCCTCTTTTCAAGCCCCTCATTGTGCAAGGGACTGTGCATCAGCACCTGCCCTTCAGCTCAGGGAGGGACAGCACTTCCCTCACCCTCCTCCCAGGTACCTCTGCTACCCCCAGGCTCTCCAATGGGCAGGAGCCACCAGCCAGACAGCACAACTGAAGTGGGTCTCCTCTAGCTGGCCAGCAGTGGGTCCCATACAACCGTGCCCCAGGCTACCGCTGGGGCTTGAAAGAAATGCAAACTCCGCTCCAGTATGCTGGCTGTCTATCTGGCCAGCAACTCTACTTTCCTGGACTGGCTGAAATATTCATAACTACCTTACTGTAAAGAGGTCTCAACTCCATTAGAAACTCAGGAAAGTTTTGTGCAATAAATTATTCAGTAGCAGCTTTATTTTTGGACCAAGGCATACAAGGAAGGGAAGTTGTCCAGCTGATCCCTAACCTGTCACGAAGAGAACGTCTGCTACGCCCTGGCACTGTGCATATGCAACAGTTTTTGAACACAATGACTCTTCTTTCTGTTCTTCCAACCCTGGTAAGGGAGTGTTGACTCAAACTGGAAAATCCCTTGGTAGCAACTCTTGCAAAACTCACAATTTCTGAGATCTTCTTAAGAGGACTCTCTCTGCCACTCAGTCCACAGCCTAAAAGGGAACTTCAGCTCCTCCTTCAGCAACACCAGTTACAGACGTATGCGCTACGGGATCACCTAGAAGCCCCAACTGTGCTATGTACTGAGAGATTCAGGCCCTATCTGAAGGGCTTGCAACCTACAACCGCTGAAGGCAAGGCATAGGACAAGCAAGGCAGAAACAGAAGATGTAAAATGACCTTCTTACATCCCCACACATCACAAAACTTAGCTGGGAACGTGCTAGGGACAAGATCCAAGTGTAATCCTTTCCTGGGACAGGAAAAATACTCCAGTATCTCCTTTTCCCGCCCTCACACACACACACACACACACACACACACACTCGCAAGCACTTTTATCTTTCCCTTCTCACCACTGCTGTATAACTGAGAGCCTTCAGAAGCTATTTTTCGGATGAGTATCAGCTTGATCCCAATTGCCTAGCTATGCACAGCCAAAGTCTCAAGGAAAGCCAGCAGCAGCCACTAGCACCATTGTGGGAAGTCATCACGTTTAAGAAAATGGAACTACTCTGTTGAGTCAGCAGCCAACACGCACCCAGAGCAGCCAGTCACCCATAGCCAAGGTCTTGTGCTGACACAGGCCTCAAAATGGCAGCTCTGCAAGCTTCCCAGCACGTTCTCACACACACCCCAACAGGTCACACTGAAAATATAACAGATGTTATGCCCATGGCCTATCTCCTAAAGCCCTGGTCTACTTCATCCAGGGAACTCACAGCCTTCCAATTTTTCTTTACTTGTTCATCTCAAGGCCTATTCTCTTCCTTACCTGCAGAGATTTCTCATCCAGCATTCGATGTTTGCTCTGAATCTTATGTCTTGGCCATTTCTGTTTAGCTGGGTCTTCTGCGCCAGCAAAAATCGAGCTATACTCCTGCAGCCGTTCTGGGGCAGGATACTTGGCACTGGAAAATACCTGTAGGGGGACAAGGAAGAACTGAAAAAAAATCCCAACAATTAAGCAATCTTACACAACAGAAAGGCAAGGAGCCTAGCAAGGCACACAACCTGCACTGCAAGCGGGAATGGACAGCCTTGCTTTGGAGTCAGCAGGCTCCTAAGGGCAATCTGCATTAGCTGGGGCTGAGGGCCCCAGCCATGCATAGGCTGTCACTTTTGAAAGTCCATGTGCCAGAACTTCTCTCTCTATAGAAGTACTAGAAGGTCAAAGGCAAAAAGGCTTCCACTGACAGAAAGGGAAGTACAGACATTATAATAAATGGAGCAAGAAAAAGGAAAGGAGGATTTTCCCCAGAGTTTTACAAGGCTCAACAGGATTAACATGCACTGAAAGGGAGGCTCTCCAACAGCAACTTCCATGCAAGTAGCCAAAAGGCTAAGCAACTGAAATAAGAGGGTGTTGAGCTTAGCGCAACACATGCCTTTTCTCTTTCTCAAAAAGCTGTTCGGGCAGCAACTTATATAGGCCTTTTAAGTCCAGAAAAGAGGTGCGTTTCATGGGTCTAAAAACTCATCAATTGCCCAAGTCAGGAAGAGGATTCTAATCACTGCTCCAGCTCAGCAGCAAGGCAGAGAGGGGCAAACAGGCTGCAACTAGGGAAGCCGAGTACCTGCTCTGCGGAGCTCACAGTAGGAGCAGAGAGAGAAGGTGGAAGGAAGAAGGGAGGCTATATAGTCTTCACAGTCTAGCTACCAACTGCGGTCACTACCTTAATAGCCTTCTTGCTGCCCTTTATCTTCTCAATCTTTGCTTGGGCAAGCGTGACTCTCTCACTGATTGTCTGAAGCTGTGTCCGGCTGGCCTCCACCCGCTGAGAGATCCTAAGGAGCAAGCACATTTCTTAAGGATAAGAATCCAGAGCCAAAGATTTTTATGCAACAGCCAGTGCACAAGTCTGAGGGGAAGGATGTGAATCTCAGTGGTCTGGATTGTTTCATAGGGTATGATTAGTGCTGGTTGAGACAGGCTTATCTTGGTCCCATTGAGAGTTTTCTATACTCTGACATGAAACTAAGTTTAGCCTGTGACTTACAGCACAACATTCCCCTTGCTGTTTGAGGCAAGGCAGAGGAAGCTGGAGAACTGCAGGACACTAGACCGTAGCAAGCCCTACCCCTCACTACACATGCTACTAACAAGACGGTTACAGCTAGTATCAGCTGCCAATACATTTTTAATAAAAATGATCTGTTAAAAATGAAAGGTAGCACACACTAGTGAGCAGAATTCAGGACCCACAGAGCCCATCCTATTCTCTGCTCTACCAGCAGCTTGTTGCGTGACTTCTGCCACACTGCTTCACAGCTTTGTGCTTCAGTTTCCACAGCAGTAAAACAACATTAGGTCCTCGTTTGGCGTCATAATGCACACTAGCTTGCATAATTTCTGCATGACTAGGTCAGCAATAAGAATGCTTTGGGACTAAGAGATAAAAAGCATTTTGCCACAGCAGGCGATAGCAGTCACTGCTTAAGAACCTCTGCATTGACCAAGTGGACATACTCCCTTCCCAGAAAGCTTTCAGTGGACACCTTGCAGCTATGGGTGGGACTGAAACCACCAGCACACTGTACACACTCACTATTGTGCTGAGAGAACTGCCACACAGGCTCAGCCCAGAGGCCAGGAGAGGCATCAGGACCAGACATTAGCACCAGGTTAACTACAGCGTTGCCTGCTCAGGAAAGACCTTTCTTCCCCTCATACAACTAGTAGGTGCTCCCTAGCTTCAAACTGAAAGACTGACAATTGTTTTGCATCTTCATCCCTCTAATAAAAAACAGCAAAGAATACTTTTTTGGCTATGCAATCTATTAGAAGAGCTAATACTCCACTTTAGCAACATGTTGTAGGCATGAGTTCCATAGGATCACCTACTACATGTAAAAAAAAAAAAAAAAAAAAACACACTCAAGTATTGTCTTTAAATTTCACCAAACATTTCACCAACATTTTCACTCTTTGCTTTGAAGCAGTGAGCCCCCATGTTTTTTTTCATTCTATCTGTATAATTCCTTCTAGCAACTAATTTGATATCAGCAGTGATCCATGATTCCCATTTTCAAACTGTATCAAGCCTGTCTTTTCAAGCATTTTCACCTGGTGCCACATGTTCACTATTACAGTAAAAAGGACTCTACTTAAGGGCCCTCTTTGGTTATATGTAGTGAAAAAAAAAAACAGTAAGTGGCAGCAGCCTATTCAACTTGTATCATTCTGAAAAACCTCTATTTCCTGCTCTGAACAGCTTTAAGAGTTTTTGTTTGTTTATAACCATGCTCCCCTCTCTCTGGAGACATGAAAGTCCTTCCTTAGGCATACAACAGGAGAGCAAGTTGCCTGTTCTACTTATTCTTTTTGGAGTGGGAGATGAGCAAAACTGAACCTCATGTGATCCTGCCTCACAGTATTATTCTCCATTTCTCCATCCTTTTATTTTAAATACATCCTAACAGCTTGTATTTTGTAGCAACACTAAGTACAAATCTGTTCATGATTCCCTTCCCACACCCTCCCTCTGTCTTAGTGGAGTAGGTCCATATCGTTTATATACTTGTTGGGTTCTCCCAGTAGTTTAAGTTGTTCCTTTCAGTGTGCATTTCCTAGCGCTTATCTGCAGTGATTTCACGTGTCACAGGGTCATCCCACTGCCTAGTTCTGTGAAAGTGTGAGACGCTTCAGAAGGATCCAAGTCTTCCCTAACCGCTCCCTCCAGCAAATTTTCCCACTCACAGTTCACCTCTTATGTAGAGGATTCATAATTGTATTGATTGTCACTATTCTTAGCACTGCTCCTGGGGGCTCCCACCTACTTTTACTTCCTTAGAAATGGAAAAAAATTGGTCATGTATTCGTGTTTTGCTTTTCTCTCTCAAATTCATGATATAACTTTCCTTCTCACCCATAAGTAATCCCTTTCCTTGGCAGTTCTCTAGAACTCAAAGCCCTCCTGAAACTCCAATCAAATTGCCTTTTAGCCACTACTCCACTGACTCCCAGACACAATTCTCAGGGGCCAAAAAAGCACACGTTTCTCTCCTAGAAGGAAACGTTAAGCAGTCACCCAAGCTCAGATGTGAAAACCAGTAAGTGTTCTCCTCCCTTCAACCTCATGAATTTGAGCAGGTGAAGTGAGATGGTCGAATGCTCCCTTTCCTATCCCACATTATCACCACTGCTTCATCGGGTATCCCCTCTTTCCCCACACTCACTCCCTCTCCAGCTGTGAAGAGCAAAGGAGCTTTTGCAAGACATCCCCAGTCCCAAAACTGAGCACCACAGAGCACCTCTGCAAGCAGCACTGCAAGCAACCGAGGGAGACTCGGAGCAAAGCTACTCCATGGCAGGCAACAGGCTGCTCTCAGAACGTCAGTTCTGTCTCAGTCTTGTCAAGATCCAACATATAGGGTGTCTCTAGCATGAGATATGTTCCAAATTTTCTCCTTATTTTAATACACAGAAGTGGGAATAGCTGGTTTACAGATAATTTGTGCTTTAGAGATGCTCATAACTTTCTATTCCTTGGATTCTAGAGGGATGAACAATCCCAGTTACCTTTACCTGTCACCCCTATAGGGCCACTTCCACATTTACCATTCATCCTACTAGACATCTGCTCGAAGAGAGGAACAGGGCCACAACTCCCTTTGTGCCGCCAAACACAGGCAGTGTGTTGGCTATTACAAAGTAATCCTTGCTCCTTGGTTACTAATGCTTCCCATAGCACATGGATGGCAAGAGAAGAACACAAAGCAAAACCTATCTGAGCCTGTAGGGCCGCATACATCCTGCTCGTTTAAGGTTTGCTGGAACCACTCTTAAAAAGCAGGCATCTCTGAAAAACAGACCGTGACTGACCATTACTGTGTAATTAACCTTTCACTCTCTGCCCTAGCTGTAACAGTAATGCTGCATCCAGAAGGGGAGGAGGGAGGACATATAGAGCTTCATCCATCCCTACTATTCTTCCCTTATTCTCCCCGCACAAGCTGAGGAAGCTGTCCAGAGCTGGCTCAGGTGTTTCAAATCATTACAGCTACTCCCTGCAGCATCCTGCACTTTCTCCTGTGATTTTCTACCCTATGATTTGCCAGGTCTAATCCCACCAAGCTTAGGAGTTCTGCCAAAAACCTGCACCTGCAGTGGTATATATGCAGGCAGACATCACAGAAGGACTACACGCAAGCCTAAGGATTAATCTATTTGTTGCTGACCAAGGTAACTATGAAAAATGATTAAGCCCCCTCAATCCAACTAATCCATCAAATTCTCATCACATGTACAGGGTCCCAAAAAACACATGACTGTTATGCATGTACAGTTCAAGTTACAGCTACGCATGTTAGTTCAAAGAGATAATGTACTATGCAGATACTGAAAAAAAGAATACATGAAAAAAGACTCATGTTCAAGGGTCCTCCAGCACCTTCAGTATTTCTACTGCTGTGGAGACTGAACTTACTCCAAGAAGTCACCTTGGTATTTGCAAAGAGAGGAAACATTAAGGGATGGAGAGGCCTGTTCCCAAGGATTTCAGGGGCTAAGTGTTTGAAGCAGGGCTACAATTAGACTTCAGCCTCCATTTAATAAGCGAGTTTTATCTGAAAGACAATTGCATGAAAGGCAAGAGGGGTAAGCGTTAGTAAAACGGCCCACCTCAAAATCTTTGTGCTCAGACAGCAGAGAATGCCATTAGCATCTGAACCTACCCTATGCCTATCCTATTAGTCATCACTGGGTTATTTTGCTCTCGGTGCTCTTTTCTGCTCGAGAAACTCCTTTAGTTAGATTCAATGTGACTTCAGAGTTGTGAAGAAGGAGCAGGCAGGCAGCGACAACCTCTGGCAGTATGCATGCTCTGGAATAAGCGAAAAGGGGGCCCACAAAAGGCAGAACATACCACCTGTCTTCAAATCCTGGGCACAGCACCAAACCAACCTTCCACTCCTAGTGCTTTTCTTTGGGAAAGTAATACATGAGGTAGATTAAAACTATCTAGTGGATTATCTTTAAATCCATACAGATTTTTTTTTTTAATTTATGCAGATATTGAAACAGCTGGAAGATTGGCTTTAACTCAAGCTTTCACATTCTCTGCTACTCTGAACTCTTTTTATAGTCAAGGGCTTCTCCCCCTCTCCCTCAGCTTTGATCTCATTTCTCCTAACACCCTCGCGTCACTGCCCTGAGCTCCTGTCCGTTTTAGGTGACTCCCTTGCAGCACCCACAGTAGTTCTCAGGAATTTTTCCTCCCACCTCACCAGCTCCCTTATCAGCTCTGCCTCCTCTATCTCACCTGTAGCCATGGAGCAGATCATTTCCTGTTATTTCCTTACAGCTTCTCTGACAATCCTCACGCTCTGTTACTGGAAGACCTCTGCTGCATACGCGTCTGCTCGTAGGGGAAAAGTGATTGCTCTCTTGCTCATACAGGGAAAAGAGTTGAGGCACCAGGAAGCTGGCATCCAGGACGCTGGACACAGCCTATGAATTGCCATAATCCCATATTCCTATGAGGGTCTCCAAGCACACCACAGTGCCAAAAAAGCAATGATTTTAATCATCTGTATTTGATCAGACAAGATTAGAAACAAGTTTAAAATAAGAGCAGGTTTGAAGGCATTTTGATGGACTCCCAGAAGGGTGGCTGAGGAAAGCAATTTAAGGAATGACAGAATTCAGCTGGAGGGAGGCATCACAGCATACAGGAACGGAGCCACTTTGCTGTCCCCATTGAGTGGGCACATCACCCAAAAGTGAGGGGATTACAGAACTGGGGGGAGGGGCTGGGGGGCAGGGAGAAGAGATGAGCTTCATATCA